CAGGGTGCTTTAGTTTTGCATGTCCCCCTGGGCCTGAGCATCATGCCCCCATCTGCCTGAGTCATCAAAACACCTCCTACAGACACCCCCGCATCTTTACAAAAATGTATCACAACTAACCACACAGGAAGAATCCCATTTTAATTGTTCCAACTTGAAAATGTAGAAGCCCCCCAGTGGCAAAGAAAACAAAGCTGTTTTGGGAGCAAAAAATGGCTGGACCAGTTCAAATCAGCCTTTGTGTCATGCAGTCAGTAAAAATACTTTGAATTCACCCATTTTATAAGCAGAACCAATCCCACGGTATTTGATCATGTTGTCACATTCTCAGTGACTTCTCTTTTTTGCACAACAAAATGAATATTTTATCAAAAATTGCTTTTTAAATGCCTTTGCATTTTAAAAAACAATTTGCCTAGATTTTCAGAGACTGCTGATCTGAAAATTCTATGCCCATCAAATTTAATGAATAAATTATATATTTTTCCAGCTTTCCCACCCAGTCCCACTAATTTTAGTTGTGACTAATGCTGCAATCCTAGTAATACCTTCTTGAACATAAAAATCATTGCAGTCAATAGAATTTACTAGTTGCAAATGTATTAATATAGATTTCATATCCCGAAGAAAATCACCTGAAGCATTTAGTTGTATCCTTTGGAACACGCAACACAATCGTAACATTTACTCAGCATTGTATTTCACTGTGTTCCATGGGATTCATTTGAAAGCTAACTGCAGCCAAACCATGATTATATTTATCTAGATTATGGTCAGTGATCATACAGTTATTAAGGACAATTTATCTAAATTCATTGGGTTAGAGTAGAGCCATTGCAATCAGCAGGATTTCCTTGATTAGCGAAAGAATAATCACATTTATTTATTATTCATAATGCACTTACTTAAGTTCTATAGACATAGTAGTATTTTAAACTAGAAAAATCCTTTAAAATGATGAACACCTAAGAGCCGATGCAGAGATTCAACTTAACAACGGTGGAGGGGAAAAAAAGCCCACTGGCATACTTCCCCAAGCTTGCCTGCTGCACTTGTTGTGCACACAGTGACAGCTATTGGAAAAAATGTAACTTTTATTTGGCCAATGAGAATTCAGATGCCTTGTTACACAAGCACTGAGAATGTCAAACTGCTTGTGCAATCGATTGTTGCACCAACAGTTTTATTTACTGGGATCTGAGCTCTAGGATTCTAACCATAGTGCTACTTTTCAGAGAGTGGATGGACTTACTAATGTGCTATAATTTAGCACAACTATTTGTCTCATACCACAATCCTACCGATTTCTGTTCAGAAGCAAGTTCTAAGTGCTGTGCTTCAGGTGATGTGTCGGAATGCAGAGAACACAGAGAAGTATCAGTAAATGGTGCGACGTTTGGGACCCATATAAGCCCCAGGTTCACTATAAATTTAAAAGGGCCCAGAGCCTGTAAATGTGTTCTGCTAAATACACCTACATAGCTTCTTAAGGGGAAAGCCTTGATATGGCAAATAAGCATCCGGTTTAAGCTCATTACCAATGAATTACCAATGGATTAACACAATTGATCTAATTGAGTCAAATGATCTAGAGCTTTGAAAGTCAATTTTATTATAGATGTGTTTTTTGTTTTCACATATTTCTGCATTTTTAGAACCCAGACAATATTTTCCATTAGGGCTGAGTTTCTGAAATGCAAGTTCTTTTTAATCCATATTACAACAATATATTGGCGTTCAAAAGTGCAATTGTAGATCTTGAATGACTGAATATCATTAAAGGTACTTCTGTAGTACATTAATACTTGTTGTCTACACAAAATTTGTGGTAAATAAGCATTTAACTTTATTTTCTGCTTTTTCTTTCCCAGAAATATTATAAAAAGACTAAATTGCATTTCAGAAATAATGGCTGAAGTCCTGTTGGTGGAGCTAAACTGGGCAACTTGGATGGAATTTAATTGGTTAGGAGCAATTAAAAATTTCCTAAACATCACCTCAGCTGTGGCTGATGATGTCACACAACTTATACCATATAACATGCGAAACAGGATTCTGACTAGTGTGCAATCATTGGCTGAGGTATTTTTTGGAAACGTAACCATGTTCTACTGTGCCCTGGAGAAAAAATGACTGTCTCATAGTCTCAGTGTAATAAAGGATGGAAAAGTGCTATTTGCTGAAGGAAATAACAGCAACAGCAGCATGTATTTCCTGGAATTCCTAGAAGAGTTTATACTTTCAGGGATTTTGAAAGGTTTTTTAAATCTAGATTTCCTGAATCTTTTGATACTAAGTTTCAACCCCCCTTTTTCCAAATTGAATATTGCCATAGGCCACAACTACAGTAAGCATTCAGTTCACCATATTAAAAAGAATCATGGGGATTTTATTACAATGACTTTGCCCTTGCAGTTTGGTTTGGTTTTGCTTTGTTTTCCTATTTGTTTGGAAATTGGCCTGAAATTGACAACATCTTACCCTCAGCATTGCAATTCAGCACCTAGCATTTTATAATAAATAAAGTGCTTCAGTTACCTTATCTCTGTAATCCTTACAAAAGTTCTGTAAAACATCATCATCTCTGTATGCAGACGTTCTTGAGACAGAAATAGTGTTGTTGAATTCATGCCTGGTGAGTTCAAGAATAAATCCCAAAACAGATGTTAGATATAGCCTGTGACTAGTAGGTGGATTTTCTTAATTAATGTGAGCATCTGACTGTTACAGCACAAGCTTCTTTCACTCCTGGAACTGTGCAAATTAGCTTACTTTGGTCTTTAGTCACCAGACTTAAGCATTTTGCATGGAAAGGCTATCTCTTAGTCTTCTGGATTACTATCAGTGGATACTTTTATAAGAACTGGGGAAAAGAGGAGGTTGTGATCAGGGCAATGGCGTGCCCCCCCTTCAAATTCTGTTGTTTGTCAGGTACCACCCTATTCCAGTCCACCAGTTGCCTCTATTTAGAAATATTGTGTAATTCACATGAGCAGTTTTATACTATATGTTCTTGTTCACATTCCCGTTCAGTAATTGCTGAAGAACTGTTTTCAGGGTCCAGCTTTTTGGTGGGATGACCAAACAAACATTGTCTTTGTGCTGTTACTTTTACCTAACCTGCAAGACCAAGCTACACTGGGATAATAATCTTAGAACTGCAGAGCTGGAAGGGACTGTATGGAATGGATTGTTGAGTCCAGCCCATGTCGAGGAGACAACAGTGGGAAATTGGACTCCCAACCTCTGGCTCTGCAGCCAGAAACCTGAACCACTCAAGAATCCATGATAGTTATTCTATATATGAAAGGAGGTTCCATTCATAGTAGCAATCTATGACTTATGAAAAGACTTTTTCCATTATTAAAATTATCCTGTGAATTTCTTGTCCATGGAGCATCTAAACTGACTACTGACCACTATATTTATTAGCAGCAGAGTCAGTCCCAGGGTTTGCATCTTGTAAGCGTTTTATACTTTGTAATGTTAGTGTAATGTTCATTGTGAAAGAACATACAAATATTTTTGTACTTTCTGAATTGAGTTGGAAAATATTTTGTGCTGAGTGAACACAAAGATGTGGATAAAGAAAACGTGTACATTCTACCTTTTGAAAAACATGAAGGGATTTTTTGATTGGAGGTTTCAAAATTTCACTCCTAAACAATTTTGCTGAAGTGTTTCTTTTGAAGTCAGGGAGGAATAGAAGAGAAGTCAGTAGAACTACTTCAATCTGCTATCTTCTCTCTGCCAAAGGTGGTTTTATCTCCAAGATACAGAAAAGAGAGTGGTTGTTATGTTATCTGTAAGGTGTCACCAAAAAGTCAAGGAGATCTGCACCAAAAGATACATCAGGCTGCAGAAATACATAGAGAATGTGAGCTTTGGCAAGACTTTGTTACTTGTCAGTTCTTCACAGTAACAAAATGGGAAGACAGTACAGTATTTTAGTTGTTCCGGCTATTAGGAAATGCCTATATATTTCATTCCAGAGCTTTCAGTTGGCAAACAACTTTATACCTATTAGCTCCAGCTGCCTATTATTTTATAATTTATCTGCTTCCTTGTACTTATTCCAATGATTCTGTTGGTGAGAGTAATATGTATGTTTAATTCTAGCACTAAGTTACAACTGGTGTAGGCCCATGGAATCAATAGGTATTTGGTGAGTCAGCACCTGTGTAAGCTCCATTGATTTAATGAGCCTACTCTAGCTGCAGCTTACTTTTGGATTTCAGCCATCGTCGTCGTTGTTTAGTCGTGTCCAACTCTTCATGACCCCATGGACCAGAGCACGCCAGGCCCTCCTATCTTCCGCTGCTTCCCGTAGTTGTGTCAATTTCATGTTGGTTGCTTCGCAGACACTGTCCAGCCGTCTCATCCTCTGTTGTCCCCTACTCCTTTCAGCCATAGTTTTGGCTTTATTGTTTAGAAGTAGTCTAATTCTTTATTTTCAATTGCAGTTATGTTGTTGATTTTGCTTATGTATGTGTTGCCTTTGAAGCATGGTAAAGTCTACAAACAATTAAACATATAAACAGTTTGCATATGATGAATATCATTTTCATTGTACATGTGTTTTAAATGATATGTTTGAAGATTAAACATTTTTATGTACTGCACATTAAATGAGTGGCTCTCCAAATTGTTAGGCATGTGTTTTAAAAGTAATCTCTACTTCTAGTATGTGAATCAATTGCCCCAAACTAAAAGCCAGAATAAAATACAGCATTTAGTATCGAACATTTATATCAGTTCTATAGAGTGAAAACAATACAATTTCAGTTCCTTAAAGATACTGTATCAGTAAATTAATGAGTTTCTTCATATAAGCATATTTGTCGGTTCCTTAAAGATACTGTATCAGTAAATTATTAACTTCATTAGAAATGAGTTTCTTCATATAAGCATATTTTTCATGAAGCGTTTTTAAATTGTCCCTATGTTGTCATTACTACTATCACTGCTACTATTACTATTGTTATTATTACTATTCCTAGGTGAAAGGTCCCCCGGCTGCAGGAGCATTTAAGGAGAGACCAACAAAGCCCACAGCCTTTCGCAAGTTTTATGAGCGAGGTGACTTCCCAATTGCCCTTGAGCATGATACAAGGGGAAACAAAATAGCCTGGAAGGTAAGTCAGAGCACAGCTGTGACAGCCAGTTGTGTTTATTGAAGTGACATCTCCCATTGCCAGAAAAAGGGTTGGCTTATAAGTAAATAAAGTGGAGTAATTTCTTAGCAAATAGAAGGTGGTGTGGGAGCAGTTAGAGTGTGGCCTCCTGAGTCAGCCATCTACCTTGGCTAACAATTAAATTATATGCTGCAAAAAGGAAGATGACAGAGTTGCTTTGCCTTAGAGAATTGTCTCCTGCTCAATTCATCTCTATTTTTATGAGGACTTGGCAACCCAACCTATTTCAGGCAGTCCATCAAATGATGGAAGTGGCTGGATACAGTGAGCAGCAGCCATTTATCTCCCCCCAAATTTCACCTTCCTGCAGGACAGTTCCAAATGGAAGCTTTAATTACCTAAATGGATAGGTCAAGATTGTCTGCTCCCTTGAAATGCAGAGCAGAATACAAACGAAGGCAGATTCTCATTCCACGGCTGCACTCCCAGTCTGCAGCATATGTCAGACAGCGTAATCGCTGTCATACGTGCCCCTGTTAGAGGCTGACCTCCACTGCTGAAACCATTATGGTTCCGACATCTCTGACAAAAGGTTAATTGGCTTCAAAATAAATGTATCGCCTAATGACTTCATTCTAATGCAGCAGTGTTTCTCTCTAAAAGGCTCAGTGGTGTTATTTGTAAAACTTGCCAATCTTTTAAGTAACTAGAGCAGGCTTTTAAATTTAATTTGAAAAATGAATGCTGATCTTTAACCTGTTTTGTTTCTATTTAATTATGTTTATTATCAAAGAAGGATGTTCCTTGTGTATGTATGTTGTTTGTCTGGCTGAATGTAGAAAACAGGGGTAGGTGGGTGGGATACCAAGAGTTGAGCACTGGGGAGTGGATCAAACCCCATTCCTTGAACATTTGAGTGAGTTATGTTAAAAATATAATCTTTATTTAAACTGCCATGATTTCATTTATTAAAATAAGAATGAGCAAGATACTCTGATGAATGAAAATTATTTGTTATTGCTGTTATTGTCATTTGTCGTGTATAAAAAAAATCAGCAATGAAGCACAATAGAAAATATATCAGTCATTATCCCATTTAATATTTACATTTACAGAACTGCAACCATGGAAACTGCAATAGTGATCTGATGACCTGTTGGTCGTGTGCTGTCATAGCCTGACTGCATGACCAGATCAGACCACCTTGGTAGCTTCTGCAATTGGAGCTGTGCATGAGTAAATATTGAACAGGATACTGGCCATCATGTCAAACAAAGAAACCTACCAACATGTTTCATGTCAAAATTAATAGCTCTATGTAGCTATGTCTTTACTTGGGCCTAAAAGGTTTTCTGAGAAATTGACAGAACAGTGACTTGCTGTTTGACATTAGTAATAGGGAAGAACTGGGGGGGGGGAATGGGGGGGAACTTACTTGTTTTTGTGGTGGTGCTCCATCAGTTTGTATGAAAGCTCATGTAGTGGATCCTTGTAAGGGTATCTGAGAATCATTTTATATCTTTTCTTTTATGGCTGCATATTGCAGATGGTTTGGCTTTGGGATTTTTTTAAATGTTGAGCTTTTATAGGAAACTTTATCTTAAACTTTCTATTTCTGCTTATATTTAGAAGTCTGTTTTAAATTATCCTCATGGTGCAGTGGTTAACCTACAATACTGCAGTCAAGACTCCGTCCACACCCTGGGTTCGATCCCAATAGGCTCAGGTTGACTCAACCTTCCGTCTTTCTGAGGCTGGTAAACTGAGTACCCAGCTTGTTGGGATGGGAGTGTGTAGCCTGCATAATTAAAATTGTAAACCTCCCAAAGAGTACTTTAAGCACTGCAGGGCAGTATATAAGCAGCACACTTTTCCTTTGCTTATGGCAAACTTTATTATATGTTTGATTTAATAAATGAAGGAAAGTGGTGTGAGAGGGAAACTGAGCTCAAGAGACAGCAACCAAAGAATAGAAATGGTTAAACTGTAAATGGTTAGCCGTGACTGAAAAGATAAGAGTGGGTAGGTTTTTCTCCCAAAAAGGGAGAATCAGGGCCTGTCCAGACTTGGTTTTTTTTTTTAATGTAGGGTGGATTTGGCTACAAAGGGTCTGTTGGTAGAGTGAGAAATGAGCTACCATTTAGTGTGTTCCTCCCTTCCAAACAGCAAACAGCCCTTTGCAACCTGATCATTTGTCAATTAAGCGCTTCTCCTGATCATCTGTGGAAGGTCTGGGGAAGGTGGTTTTTTTAAATGTTGCTCCTCTCTCCCTCTGTCAGTGCCATTCCATTTTCTCCCTCCCTGTTTCCCTTGCCTTATTCCTCACACATTTCCTCTCCCCCTACTTTCTTTCTCACTATAGCAGTTAATCAATATCTGTTAAAATATGTCATAAAACCACTGATTTTTTTTCAGTTTAACAATTAAGACACATCTATAAATGGAGACAATTTCCTTCTGATATCATAGGAACAGCTTTCCAAGTAATTTCTCTGAAAGTACATGGGAAGATTTATTATATATTTGCTACATTTATACTCTACATTTCCCCCCAAAATGCCATTCACGGTAGCTAGCAATATTTACATTCAAATAAAAGCAGTAATATCATTAAAACATTAAAAAAAGTAAAAATATAAACAATTAAAACAGGAGTTTGGCACTCAGCTGTGGAAATATGGATTGAAAGAAGAATACTGAAATTTATTGTATAATGTATCTCTTATAGAGTTATTTTGTAGAGGGATAAACATTGGTGCTGCATTTTCTTGCTACAACAATAGCCAAGCTGTATGGGTCTTTTTTTCTAAGGAGGTGGGATGCTGAATGTGGGTCAGAGAGAAGGTGGTAAGGTATTCCTTCCTTGCTGTCTTCCCATTCTGTGTTGATATAGTAGAACATTTAAAATTGGGTGGTGGTGATGGGGGACAGGATCCTATGCAATATTTTATCCCTACCTGGCAAAATATGATGTAAATATAGTGTTTATTGAAATACCACAGTGCATGTCTTTCTGTTTATTTCAAAATGCTTCTAATCATTTTTTTAAAAAAATTCTGGTGTGTTTTTCTAGCTGATCAATTAAATTGCTCTATACTGATTCTTAGATCATTACTTGTGTTGTATAGTTTATTTACGAGTTTTATTTGCATAATAAAATAATTTAGAAGTGTACAAAATGAATATTTGATAGGGCAAAAGCATCTGGGGTTTTGTGTTGTCAAAAATAACTGATACATTTTAAGATATCTTCCTTGCTTTTAAATAAATTGGCCAGAATCCCTTTGGCTAGTTACTTCAGTATCAATGCAATGGCAAAAATCACTGTAGTGCACTGCTGCTAGTTAATAAGGCACAGCTTGTATTCCTTGTCATGCGCAAGTCACATGGCTTGTTACACAATGAGGAATAGAAGCAATTTGCCTCTGTGATTCATCCCATTGCTGGCCATGGTGATTCTATGTATGTTTTAATACAGGTTTGTCTTGACATGCATGGTGAGTACCTGGGGTTTGATTGACAGTTGTAGGTTGGAAGTGTATCAGAAGTGACAGTTTTAAAAGCTGGGAGGTGTGGAAGAATGTTGGTGAATGGAACTAAGAGCTGATTTGTTGGGATTTTCCCTGGCTTCAGGAATATTGTTTGGCATATAAAGGTGTGTGTGAGGGACAGAAGGAGAGAGTGCTGGAGAGTATTTTTCAACTAGAAACATAATGTGTAAATTGCTCTATATAGTTGATTTCATCTCAGGCTTTAGAATCATAGAATAATGAAGTTGTAAGGGGCCTATAAGGCCATTAAATCCAAACCCCTGTTTAATGCAGGATTAAAAATCAAAGGATATCTGTCAGGTGGTTATCTAAATTTGCCTCTGCTGGAGCACTCACTAGCTCTCGAGGTAATTGGTTCCATTGTTGTATTATTCTAACAGGACGTTTCTCCTGTTCTTCAAACAAAAGCTGACTACCTGTAACTTAAGCCCATTTTTGCGTGTCCTGTACTCTGGGAAGATTTGGAACACCTCCTGCCCCTCCTCATTATGACAGCCTTTCCGGTATTTGAAAAGTGCTATCCTGTCTCCCCTCAGTCTTCTCTTCTCAAGCATGCCCAATTCTTTCAGTCTTTAATGTACAGTGGTGCCTCGCTTAATGAGCGCACCGTTTAATGACGAATCCGCATAGCGACGTTGCAATTGCGATCGCAAAAGCGATCGCATTGCGATGTTTAGATAGGGGGAAAATCGCTTTGCGACGATCGGTAAGCGTTTCGCTTACCGATTTTCGCATAGCGATTTTTTTAAACAGCTGATCGGCGGTTCCAAAATGGGCTGTGGGATCAGCTTTTGTCCTTTTCAGGAGATGGATGATTATGGTGATCAGTGCATTTTTGTTGTGGGTGTATTGTTGTGATCCACACACCAAAGACCAGCTAACGCTACCCATTTATCACAGTGACAGATAATCTCTCCCCCTTATCACAACAATACACCCAGAACAAAAACTCACTGATCACCATAATCACCCATCTCCAGAAAAGGACAAAAGCTGATCCCACAGCTATAAATAGTCAGCTCCCAAAAAACTGCACCAGAGCACTGAGTGCTACTCCTGTCCTCTGAAGATGCCGGCCACAGAGACTGGTGAAACATTAGGAAGAACAACCTTCAGGACATGGCCAAAGAGCCTGAAAAACCCACAACTTTCAGTCTTTCTTCACAGGGCTTGGTTTCAAGCCTCCTGATGATTCCTGTTGCCCTCCTCTGAACTTGTTCCAATTAGTCAGCACCCTTCTTGAAGTGGAAGGATTGATTATATAAATAAATACACATAAACACATTTTAAAAGAATAGTGCATAGTTTTGTGGACCCACTAGAACATGATAAATTTAGAAAGAATAATGACATTTTTCTTTAGACTGCATAGTGAAGATTCTTTAGTTCTAGTAAAGCTCTTTTTAGGCACAGTAAAGTTACTTAATTTCTAGTTCCATGTTTTTTGCA